TCCATGGGAGTAAAGGCTGCAAATCTACACACAGGTCTACAATGCCTCCACTCCCCAGGCCCTCCCTCTCCCAGGGTGCTTTACTGTGGCTTACCTTGACATTGGGCATGTATTTAGAGAAGCGCTCATACTCCTTGCTGATTTGAAAAGCCAGTTCCCGAGTGTGGCACATCACCAGCACAGACACCTGTGGGAGATGGAGAATGTGATAAACTTACACTCTGGGGAAATAACACAAAAACATACCTGGCGGATAATAAATAATTTCAATTTTGAAATAGCAATCATTAACGCTGTGATTACTATGAAACATTTCCCGCAGTTGTCAATCAAGGGTATAGAGGCCATCTGACCATTCCTCTAATTGTTCCCTGTAACTCAAAAAGCAATCACTCTTCCCCCAAACATTCCTAACCAAAATGCTGGGGGCCTCCCTGGTGGCATAGGGGGCAAGTCTCAGCACTTTCAAGCCATCAGCAGCCACAGCAGCCAAGAGTTTGATCCCTGGCCAGGGAACGGACCCACACGGCCCAGCAGACCTCTCCTGTGTCACTGCTGCTCCCCTCAGCAGAGTAATTCAGTAGATCTGCCTGTTCTGCTCCCCACGCTGTCTCTGGTGAATCCTCTCACCCCATACTCTGGCCTACAACCCAGCTCTTGTATACGTAAATAAATAATCTTTTTTTAAAAAGTGCCTTCCCAAGTGTACCTGTCCAGTAACTGGCTCCAGCTGTTGCAATGTGGCCAGCACAAACACGGCTGTCTTTCCCATGCCAGACTTGGCCTGGCACAGGACATCCATTCCCAGAATGGCCTGAGGGATGCACTCATGCTGAACTAGAAGGGAAAAAAATATGTGACTTCAGTCTCCAGGTAACCCCACAATGTTTTTCACTATTCCAAAGCAATTTGTCACCACTCTATTCTCAAGTTCTTGCCAACTTCCAAGAACCACTTTTACTTTTCTACCTATCTGTTCTATCAATCCAATTTATTCCAAAACCAGATCTATTTCTTGTCAGCTTTCGCCACCTTCTGCTCCAGCCCCTCCCGAGTCCTAATATACCCTCCTGGACCTACCACGAAGCTCACCTTTGGTGCTCCTGGCTGTCCTATATTTTCCTTAATCTGTAAGAATCCATGACATTGAATGTCTGGCACAGGCACTTCTCCTACTTAGGTTGCCATGCTTTGGGTCACATAACCCTGCAACCCTGGACAAAATGAACGACTTAGTACCTGACCCAGAAGTCAATCACCCCATAAAGGTTTCTAGAAACCAGAGTTGGCAGAAAGACTTAACAGTCCAACCAGCTCACTGGAAACTCAAAACCGGGTGTTAAAAGTAACAAAATTAAAAGTAAGCAGAGGAGAAAGCCAGCCAGAGAACAAATGGCAGACTTTTAAATTGCCCTTGGATCACATCCGTGCCATGATGAATTGAAGACCAGCCTATAAAAACCTCTCCTGCTGCTAAATTCATATGTGGTACCTATTTCCTGGTCTAGCCTAAAAATAAATCTGTATTGGCAATCTGAGGAACCACAAACAGATCTGTTTCTTGTACCCTAAAAGAGTCCAATGAGTAGTCTATGCCCAACAGAAAATTTACCTTCTGACGGATGCTCAAAGCCACAGTCTACAATGGCTCGGAGCAACTCTGGCTTGAGTAGAAAGTCACGGAAGCCAGAGCTGTGAATGGAGACATAGGAGCCCTTGACATCCTTCTTGGCAGGGGCCTCAGCCCCATCACCCCCTGCTGCTGTCTCCACCTCATCATCTTCATAGTCCAAGAGCTCATTGTCCACGTCGTTCTCTGCCATCACTGAGCCGGCAGGGAAAGAAGGAAAGGGTCTCTGGGTGGGGTCACTCAGAGTAAGTGGAAACAGGGAAGATCAGAGGCTTGAGGAACAGTAGAGGAACAGAGAGACACACTAGTTCCTGGCAGAAGAGCTGGGGGGAAAAAAATGGGAGACTGATCAGTCCTAGCAGAGCTTTCTGCACCTTTTTTCCATTCCCACACCCTTAGCACTTTCCCTAAACTACAAAACCTTTATCTGGAGAAAATATAACAGAAAAAGCAAACAGAGAAAATGGAGCCTAAAAATGGTCCTTCCCCGGGGAGGTGATTAAAACACATGTTCCCAACAAAAGTAGCAGAAACCAAGAAGATGGAATTTGGAAGAGGAGCTTGTAAATTGCTGATCTGCAAATAGAACAACAGAGAAGATAAAGACTAAGTCACGAAAAGCAGAATATGACAAAAGACTCAAGGTGTACAGGATGGAGATGACAAAAAGCAAAGTCCTGACAATTCCCCCAAGGGGCGCCTTGAGCTTTCCCTGTACCCTCGGGGTGCCCACCGTAACACAGCAGCCATCAGTCCAGGGTGATAGATAAAGGTCATCATGGCGCAAAGCGCTCACTTTTCCAAATGAAAACATCATGTGGCTGCCACAAACTCTGCAGACCCCCCACCCCCGGTACCCTTTTCCCACGCGCTGAAGAAAGCCCTGTGTAATTAACGGTAAGACCGGGGGAGGGGGCGAGAGTGAAGAATTTAAAGAAAATAACTCGGTCGGGGGGGGGGGAGAATAATTCACCTCTCCGTCTTACAAGATGATGCACTGTTGTATTAACTTCACACAACCAAGGAAGTTAATCATTGATACAAGACTTGGTATCCTCGCTCCGGCCTTAACAGAACCTTTACCAAGGGGCCACACGTCTCTGGCGCTACTCCTCGGGAGAGCCTCCTTTCCAAGAAACACACAATGCCATCACTCATGAACATTTGGAAGACACTCCATAAAGGGGTGACCGCAAAATTAGTTAAGCCCAACTAGGCCTACAAACCGGTGCTCCTATTCCCACAGCGGGCGAGCACCCAAAGCGGGTAAGACGAGAAGAGCCCCGCCCTCTGCAAAGGCCGAAGGACAGAGAACGCCTAAGGCCCCCTCTCAAGGCCGCTACAGCCTCCGGTAAACTAGGGGCCCAACCTGGGAGTCGGGAGCAAAGGGAACACAATGGCGTCGGAGCGACCATCTTGGATTGGGCCCCCCAGCTTTCCTACCTCCTCCCCCCAAGAATTCTTTGCTTTCGAAAGGGATGCAAGCAATGAAAGAACGACTCAACTAGGCGCCAGCGGCCAATCCATGGCCTACGGAAAAGATATTAGGAACCCATGCGGCAGGATTGCCGCGGGGTAACGGAGATGGAGACGGATGGTACTGCAGGCCTGAGCTTACCTGAGCAAGGCGAGCGCGTATGGCGGAGGGAACGGGGACGAAGGAGGGAATCTGCCTTCACTTCCGGTTCCCAGCTTCCTTCTACCCGGCTTCCCGCCTTCTCGGCCTCCAGTGCGCAGGTGCAAAGGGCCGGAAGCGGGGCCTTCCACTGTTCTTTCAGTTCCGCGCACTGCGGGGTTGCCCTTAGAGAATGCCTGTGGTAAATATTTTTAAGCCACTCCCAACTGCTCTGCTATTATCAATAACAAAAAAGCATAAAGGATCCTCTCCTGCCGTTATCTTTTTTCACTCGTCTTACTTTTCCCAAGTTCCTCATCTCTTCATTCAGGTTCTCGCCACGTAGGTCTTCTCTTTGGGCACTCTTCAGTGGGCGCTTGAGGAAATCGATGGCGGGAGCTTGCGAGTTCCCACGGGGTCCTTGATCCAGTAGTCAAGGTGACCTGAGGGCGTCGGCGCTGTAGCTTGGAAAAGTCTGACCCCAGCTGCGAGGCGAGAGTGAGCAGGGCTCCGAAACCTTCTAATCTTCCTCCAGCCGTGGGCATGGCAAGCGGCATTTGCCCAAAATAAAGTTGGCCGATGTAGCTGATACCCCAGAGACCTTGAAGCTAGTGGACTGGGGCAGCGAAATCAGGAAGATTTCCCAATCCACTGAGTGGGAGACAGTGTAGATTCTATCCCAGATACTAAAGATTACCGTAGGGCTTGAGGGTTACACAACGTTCCGCATTGTTTTGTTCTTTTTTTTATATTTATATTTATTTATATATACAGAACTGGGTACTGGCCAGAGGGGCAGGGGCGGTGAGAGGATTCACCAGAGAGAGTGGGGAGCAGAATAGGCAGATAGACGAAGTACATTGATGAGGGGAGCAGTGGGCGGGTCAGGAGAGGTCTGCTGTGCCATGTGGGTCACCTCTGGGGCTGGGGATTGAACTCGCACTGAAGTGACGGAGGCTAGCTTGCAGAGCTGTGTCCTAAACCCGTTGCGCCACCAGGGAGGGCCCTGTTTGTTCTTTACCCCACCCCCAGTAGCCCTACAGTTCAGTCTGGATCTTTTTCTGATTGAAGATGTGCTAATAAAATGATACTTGTCCATTCTATAGACAAGTAAACAAATTCAGGGAAATAAAACAAAGTATCCAAAGTAAAACAGCTGGTAAAGTGATAGAGTCACTTTACAATGTAAATACCTTGTTCTCTATTGTATCCTGCCTCCCGGACAATCTAGTTAATAAGTAAGCTATGGATTACCTCCCTGGTGTAGCAGGCTTCTTTTCTGTAGCCAAGAGAAGTAAGTCATCCAAGGATGGTGTCATAGAGGCGTTTTTCCCAGCCCTAAGTATTGATTTATTCAGTATCAACTGCTTACTCCATGGTGGGATCTGAGGCAATTGCAGTGAATAGCCTTTAGCCCTCTTGTTACAGAATTTACATAATGGGGAGACAACACATAAATATATAAAAATGTCAAGTAGTGATAAGAAACATGGTGAAAAAAAAAAAAAAGCAAGGGCCAGAGTGATGTTTCTACACCCAGTTTTTCTCTACACTTGCCATCTATACTTCTCAGGTTCCCAAACAAGAAACCACGTGCTTCTCCATTTAAAGAAATAATACTGCACCATTTGCTTTTGTTTCTCCAACTAGTTCAAATGATGACCCTTTTGGGTGTTTGGGGAATACCTAACAAGGAACAAGACAGCAACTGAAAATGAGAAAAGAGGAAGCAAAAGGAGGTTGCTCAATCCACCATTTGGTTTGCCCATAATTATTTTATTGACACATCTTACTGTTACAAGGAAAAAGTAGACTGTAGAAGATGTAGAAAGGAAGTCTGTGCACACAAAGGCTACAGCCTCATTTAAATCTCAGGAAGCAGTGAGCATCTGATGGGTCTTTGGGGAAATAGGAAAAGAGGGAAACCCAGTAAAGAGACTAAGAGACACAAGAAAATGCATCATCTTCTTGGAACCATAGTACAGAGCCTAAATGAGGTCATCATTTCATCTTGTCAGGGATTATAATGTCTCTGGGGAAAAGAGAAGTGGGAAGAACCAATTTCAATACTAGGGTCACAGAATAAGAAGAAAGAGAGCCACAGACGGAAGTGAAGAAACAGCTGGGTTTAGGTTTTGACAGGCAAATGGGGAAGGTAATCACAGGATTGCACAGCTCCTACATGCCAGAAGCCATGCTAAGCTCTTTCCAGAATGACTCCTAGTCCATTGCAGCAACCTGTAAGTTAGGCACTATCATCATTATTATCATTTCATTATTATTACTGCAGCCTTGCAGAGGAGGACACTGAAGCTACAGATGACGTAGACCCAGTTATGCAGCCACCAGGTCGCAGGAGGGGGAGGAAGTCACCACCTGAAGTCAGGGTGTTTTTGATATCTCTACTTCTGCATGCTACAAATTTCACAAAGAGCGTGGGTGGGGGTAACTTGGGAGTTTACAAGATTCCAGTGAAGGTTAAAGAACAATAAATAGATTCATGTCTGAACAAGATACTTAAATTTTTCACAGAATTACTGGATCCTCCTGCCTCCTAAAATGTGTAGGGACTGGGAGGAGAGGATTATGGTAGGAAGTAACTTTGTTTTGGAGATTTCTTCGAGGGAGGAAACTGTCAGAAGTCAGGTCCTACAATGAGTTCTAGGCAGCAATCCGGTAGTTGGGGTGGACCTGGGGCCTGACATCACAGACCATGCCAAGAAGCTGGGCCAGGACGCGCTCACGGTTTCTCTGCTGGGAGCTCTGCATGCCCTGCACCTGGCGCCTTGTAGCCTGCTCCACTTCAGCTGACAGGTTCCCCTGGGAGCCCATGGCCTGGAAGTTGGGGGGAGGGGAAGAAGAGAGAAAGAAAAAAGCAGAAACAGAAAGTTACACATGGAGGGAAGGATCCAGGAGCAAGGCCAAAAAGAAAGGCCTCTCCAAAAAAAAAAAAGGCTTTTCCAAAACTACCCCCCTCCCACGTAAATGAACAGACACCAAAGAGAGCAACACAACCCCCTTCCCCCTGAGGCCAGACATGCAAAGTCACCTACCTCCCATGACCATAAAACTCTGCCTAGCCATTGTCCTCACACTCCACCTAGACTGCAGCGACTACCCTACAAGCTCTACAAATCCTTCAAAACCCCAAGCTAATACAAAGCTTGACGAGTGCCCCACCATCTACCCTTCACCATCTACCACCTTATTTTCTTGTAGAATCAGCCTGTGCCTCACCTGATACAGTGTCCAACTTGTACCCCGGGGGGTTCCATCCCAACTTCCCCACCACTCACCGCCTGCTGCTTGCTCTGGAATTCCTGCTCTCGCTCTCTGCGATATTGCTCCACTTCCATCTGTGCCTCCTCCTTTGCCTGCTTCAGGCGCCGGGCCTTCCCTGGAGGCAGAAGAAGAATGCAGTGGTGTTGGATCCCCAAAAAATGTAACAGTAGGGATCAGTCATTTCCACAATGGTATTCTGCTTCCTCTCCGCCAACCAACTGCTATATTCTAACAACTACCCATTCCTTCCTTCCTAATCCGCTACCCCAGCCCCCAGCTCTCTACCCACCCACCTTAGTAGGTTTTTCCTAAAGACTCAATGTATGCTGTCTCCCCACCTCAATTTCCTTTCCTGATTCCTAAAGGAGAGAAGAAGAGACTCACTCTTTCTAGCATCTGCCACCTTCTCAGCCGCTCTCTTCTCAGCTTGCAGGAGCTGCTGTATACCCTGGGACTGACTGGCCATTTCTGTCGTTGTTATGGCCGATGCTTGGCGATGCAACCAAGGTACCAGATGGCTCCCACCCCTACCCCCCACCGCCTACTTCTCCCCCTCCTTTTCCAGTCCGTTGCTTCGTCCTCCACAACCCCTGGGTCTTAGTGCTCCCCTTTTAGCTCAGCTCCCGCACTGGGTGTCTCCCCCAAACCGATCCTCCCATGGATGGCTGGTCCTCCTCTCCCGCTTCTCACTGTGGCCATACCCAGAAGGGCCGCATGGGGGCAGCAGAGACCAGTCAAACTGACCGCTAAGCTCTGCAGGAGCAGCTCTGAGGCAGGGCAGAGGGGAGGCTTATGGGGGAAAGAGGGAGGCCTGGCCGGGTTGAGCCTGCGCTGAGAAGCAAGGAAGTCATCATTCCTCCCCAAATACACCGGGCTACTGTGAATTCTTCCAGCTCCCCTTCTCTGTTTTCGCTCTCCCGTTTCCATTTCCTATCTCTACATCTTCCCCCAGGTCCAAATTTCTGCATCAGCCTCACTTGTCTTGTCCTGCGGTTTTTTTCCTTATGTCTCATGACTGAGTGTTCTTCTAGTTTCAGATCTGTCCCTGTTGCTGCTTCCCTGTGCTGTTGTATGTGTCTCCCATGGTCACTGATTTTTATCCGTCTTTACCTCCCCTGTTTTCACCTGCAAATGTTTCCTCAGCTTCACTAGTGCATCACTAAACCATCTCGTCTTCCCTCCCAGTTGTGGTAGGTGGGAAAAGCCTCCGGATCGCCCCCCTTAACTTCGTAGTTTCCTCCCCAGGCCTGACCCGTAGTTTCCTCCCCAGGCCCCTCCGGCCGCGGGAAAAGCACAGGCACGCGCCCGCGAGCGCGCGCCCCGCCCCCGGGGAAGAGCAACTTCCGGGGACGCGCCGCCGGTGCATTTCCGCCCTTCCCCTGCGTCTCCGCTTGCGCCATTTCCGCCAGCCTAGAGTGTCTCCGCCCTTCCCGCCTCCCTTCCTCTGAGCGTCCTAAACACAGGCCTCGGGCCTACAGCTTAGGGGGTACTTAGGGGGGCGGGGGGCTGGTCTGATGAGTAACCCCTCCCCCCAGGTCCCAGAGGGAGAAGCCTCTACATCTGTCTGCCGGGTACATTATATTCCATTTCTAGTTCATTTTTTGAAATTATCTGTGACTTTTTAAAATTCAAAATTTCTGCTGATAAACATTCCCCCCATCAGTCTCTATGGGTCTTTTCCAAAGTCCTTTAGTAAAAATTAAAAATGTACCTGGGCTAAGGAGCCTCAAAGCGATTATTGATCATTTTAGCAAATTTTACATTCAAAAATTAAATCAGTGACTCCAGCCCCTCTAGTCCCCCCCAATTTTTTTTTTTTTCTTCCAACTTATCATCTTGTAAGGGAGGAGGGCTAGGACAGGCCTCTGTGCTGAAGAAGTAAGAAGAAATGTGGGAGCTGGAGGAAGGCCCGAGAGGGGCTGTCAGAGGAGGGGTGAGGGTCCGGCCGCGGCGGGGTCCTGACTGCTGCCTTTTTTTTCCTTCCTCAGCCCAAGAGTTCCATGGCCTCTGCTTCCCGCCGACAACGCCGAGAGCGTCGCTTCCGTCGTTACCTGTCTGCAGGACGGCTGGTCCGAGCCCAGGCCCTCCTTCAGCGACACCCAGGCCTTGACGTAGATGCCGGGCAGCCCCCACCGCTGCACCGGGCCTGCGCCCGCCATGACGCCCCTGCCCTGTGCCTGCTGCTTCGGCTGGGGGCTGACCCTGCCCACCAGGACCGCCATGGGGACACTGCGCTGCATGCTGCTGCCCGCCAGGGCCCTGATGGTGAGTCTACCCGGTGGGGAACAAAGCCTTGAGCAGCTGGTCTGAGGTGAGGCCTCAAAACCTACAAAAGTAGCTAGTATTTGGGGATAGGATCTATGGAGGTAGTGGACCACGTGGGCACGTGGCTGCGGTTTATGGCATTACACTGCTGAACTCTCATGGTCTGAAGAGCCTAAAACTCCCAAGAAAAATGGTCTTCAAGTTCCACATCTTTGTAGATTGCTACTTTGTCTCTTTGCTTGTGGTTTGTCATTAACACAGTCTGCTAGAGAGCAATGGACTCATCAGAAGTTCATTTGCCCTGGGTTCAGATCCCAACTTCACCCTTAATGATAGTGGTATATTCTTGGGCAAGTTACTCAACTTCCCTGAGGCTCAGTTTTCGTATTTGCAAAATTAAGTAACAACCTTTGCTGTGTGCCAGGTACTCCTCACAAAATAACTCATTTAATCCTCCCAACAACCCCGGGAAATTCAGAGTACTATTATTAGCCCCCATTTCCCAGATGCAAATACAGTACAAGAAGTAATTACCAGACACAGGGAGAATAGCCTCAGCCCTAGCCAGGGGCGGCTATGCTCTTTAACAACAGCGTTGTCCTGTGTGATGTTACAAAGTTCCACAATAGAGCCTGGGTTCAGAGCACCCATGCTGAGACATGTTTTGAGAATCAACTGTCAAGAGAGCATGTAATTAGAGCCCCTGGCACACGATAAATACCAGCCACCGTTGCTCCTTTGCTATCAACAAACCCTGACTCCCCTACCCCTAATTCTGAAGCTCAAAAACACTAAAAACTAAAATTTTTCTCATCAGTCTGCCACCATGCTCACTTACTGACAAAACCTAGCCTGAGCTGAGTAAGGCTTTGAAGTATGGATTAAAAAAAATTTTTTTTTTAAAGATTTATTTATTTATGCATACAGAACTGGGTTCAGGCCAGAGGTGCAGGGGCGGTCAGAGGATTCACCAGAGACAGAGTGGGGAGCAGAACAGGCAGATGGGCGAAGTACATTGCTGAGGGGAGCAGCGGGTGGGTCAGGAGACGTCTGCCATGCCATGCGGTCACCTCCAGGGCAGGCGGGAATCGAACTCATGCGGAAGTGGCTTTAGCTTCTCAGTGCTGTGCTTTAACCCGCTGCGCCACCAGGGAGGGCCCTGGATAAAAATTTTTTAGCCTACTGCTGTCCATATTCACTGTGCCTCAGAAAATTTCACATGTTGGTGCCTGGGGTCCCTAGTCCTGGGTACATAAAATCCAGCATACATGCTTTCAGATCAGGTCTAGCAAATGCCCAAAATATCTGAGCTCTGAAAAACCATGGCTGCTGAGGGCTTCAGATGGGGACCTGTTGGTCCCGTGGCAGCAGTGGAGGCCACTCCGCAGAGGTGTGGCTCTCCTCAGTCAACAAAAAGTGAGTGAGGTCATTATCAGAAAGCCTCTAGTTTTAGAATGAACCAAAATGAAGTCAATTTGATGGCTGTCATCATCCCTCCAACTCCCCAAGTATTTGAGGAACCATCTCTCACTCCAAAACTTCCTCATATGGTCAAAATTTTCCTTTTTTTTTCGGTTCCCCTTAACATCATGAAATAAGCTGGCATATTTGGGGTGTTTTTTTTTTTAACTTAGAAACAAAGAAAAGAGGTTTCCAGAATGTAGGCATCTCACCGAACAGCTGATGGAGCACCAGAGCATAGTACCCTGAAGTGACCTCGCACCTCATCCATGGCGCCATGTGACAGGGAGCTTGATTTGCCTCTAAAATGGAAGTTGTGAGTCTAGACCAGGAAAGAGCTGGGGCAGTTGGAACACTCAACAGATGCTAACTATTGTTATTCTGACTCGTGTTTTATTCAGTTAAGACTTTTTGCTTTCTTTTGGCTTTTGTTTTCCCATAGTTAGAGGTTTTTTGGGGTTTTTGTTTGTTTGTTTTTAAAGATTTATTTATTTGTGCATACAGAACTGGGGTACAGGCCAGAGGCTCAGGGGCGGTGAGAGGCTTCACCAGAGATAGAGTGGGAAGCAGAACAGACAGATCCACGAAGTACTCTGCTGAGGGGAGCAGCGGGCGGGCCAGGAGAGGTCTGCCTCACCATGTGGTCACCTCCGGGGCAGGCGGGATTCGAACTCATGTGGAAGTGGCTTTAGCGTCTCAGTGCAGTGCTTTAACCCGCTGTGCCACCAGGGAGGGCCTGTTTGTTTTTTTTAAAAAACAAAAAGCCTCTCAGTATGTTAGGAGACTTTCTCCATTGTGTTGAATTCTACGAAGCTTGTGAAGTTGATTTATACTGTTTCCAGACCTGGAAAACAGGGCCCAAGAGGTTCCAAGGAGGGGGTCCTGCCTCAGGTTACTCCCAAGCCTTGTGTCCTCCCAGCCCTTACCTTCCTCCTTGCACCCCCACCCCCACCCCACCCCAACACTGCCACCAGGGGGCCTTCTATTTCTTTGCTAAAAAGATCCCATCTCCTTCAGCTTGAAACTGCTTTAAAAATCACTATGCCTTAAAATGCAAATGTATTTGAACACATGAAATGAACCAGAATCTTCCAATGACTTCCTCTTTGCCTCCAATATTAGGTCTGAAGGATGAGCCAGTTTGTACTGGATTGGCTGGATGCCTGTGATGGCCCCTACCTATGTGGCTTTCGGTAAAATCCTTTGGGGGACTCATCACCTAGAGAGATAGTCTTACCTCTCAGAGACCCCTGCATAAACACACTTTAAGTCATACAGCAAGAATTTATAAATGTTGAGAAATAGGTCACTTTTTTCATCCTTTGCAAAAAGAATAACATCCAAAGCAGCCTGCTGTTTTTTGTTGTTGTTTTTAACATCACATTCTCTGCATTTCTGCTCTGTGCCAGCACCCGACATTTTCCGTCCATTACCCGCTTTGATCTGCAAGGCAGAAGTAGGCCAGGGCCCTGTTTTACAAATGGCTGAACCATCCGGTGTATGTTCCATTTGCCTTTCCAGCCTGGCCTCCCACGGCACACCCACAAAAGCCGCAGCTCCAGCTACGTAGTTCTCCAGTGACCCCACACATGTTTTTCACCAACCTGTCTTATGCCTGTTGCCTTCCTACTCGCTGGATTTCCACTTTGCTAAGTTAGCGTCTGTCCCACCCCAACATAAGCCCTGTCTCCTCCTTGAAGCCCTCACCAACCTCCCCACCCATTGTTACACTTCTTGCCTCAGTCAGTTGTTACTGAGTCTGATATTTTTTCTAATGCATTTCCTGGTTAAATATGAACATTCAGCTGTTTGGGTAGAAATTGCCTCATTTTGAGAAGGGAAGTACATGCTTCTATCACTACAGCAAGGTTTTGTTACTACACAAAACTTTTTTTCATATTTATCTTTCCCAATGTGAAAGTAAAATGTGTTCATGAGAGAACACTGGGAAAGTTGATCTGTCCTGTCAAGTGGGTGATAAAATTGCCATTACAGATCACTGTCTGGGGTGTGAACTGTTTAATAAACGATTAATGAACTTTGGGTCATCTGTTGAAAAATAGAGCCCTGACTCAAAAGTAAATTGTAGCTGATTAAACACTTAAAAATGACAGAAAACTCACTCACTAAAGTCAAGGGTTTTCCCTTGGGGGCATGGCAGTGTCAAAGGTTACCTTTATGGATGATGGGTTTATTCCTTTAAAATAATTTGCAAAAAATGACCATTAATCAGTATTTCCTGTTGAATTTTTTTATTTCTATCAAGAAAAATCTAGTAGCAAAAGAACACAGAATGTTTTTATAATCTTGATTAGGAGAAAACTTTCTAAGAACAAAATTAAGGCAAAAGCTATAAAAGAAAATATCAAATTAGATTTAACTACATAAAATAGTTAAAAGACTGGTGAAAGACAATATGTACTATAACATGTAACAGACACTAAGAGTTGAGATTTAAACTATATAAAGTGCTCTCTTATCTACACGTGTAACTTCCAAGTGGGAAGCAGACAAAAAACAAGCCATTCATTCACAAAAGAGCCAAAAAGCATATGGAAAAAAAAATCAGTAAAGTTTTTTCATCTGTCAGATCGCTAAGTTAAAAGGGCTAGTGAATAAAAAGGGGTTGGATACTCGTTTTTGTTTTTTTTTTAAGATTTATTTATTTATGCATACAGAACAGGTGCAGGCCAGAGGTGCAGGAGCCATGAGAAGATTCACCAGAGACAGAGTGGGGAGCAGAACAGTCAGAGCTACTGAAACACACTGCTGAGGGGAGCAGCGGGCGGCTCAGGAGAGGTCTGCCAGGCCTTGTGGGTCAGCTTCCTGTCCAGGTATAGAATTCCAGCTGGGGATAGAATTCCCACTGAAGCACTGTGGTGAGCTTCTTGGTGCTGTGATTTAAACCGATGCACCACCAGAGAGAGCCAGGATATTCAGTTTTGTTCAAGGACAACACAAGTTCTCATTTTCTTATTGGGAAACACGCTGGAACAAACTCTTTCAGAGCGGCTGGCAAAATCTCACACGTTCTTTGACTCAGAAATTCCACCTCTGAGACTGCACCCCACAGAAATGTCTTGGAGTGAGTCCACAAAGACGTATGTGTGAAGCCGATCATTTTTAGAAACAGTTTGTTGGGGAGATTTGTCTGTTTCATACACCCAGTGGAACACCACACTTTAAAAAAGTGAGGTAGACTTCATGCCTCCATGGAAAGACACAGATGACGTTGAGATATTAAGTGAAAAATAAGTTGCCAACGCAACTATGTAGTATAGTCATATAGTATATAGCCTTGTAATCTGAAAAAATGCATGAAACTTAAACATTTATGTACAGTAGGCCACAGTGTGGAAAAGGCCACAGCTAATTTTTTTGTGTTTCACATTAAAGTGTCAACTAAATAAGACTGAAAGAAGCTACAGTCTTTCCACCCAGAGACTAGAATTTTCACATATTTCCTCCCAGTCTTTTGTTCAGCCATCAGATTTGACCTCTCTTTTCTTTGAATATTTTCAAGTCCAGTTTTTTCCACATACAGGCATATCGTTTTTTAGCCACTGTTTAATATTCTGTATTGTGTTTTACTTACTGTGTTTTATAATTTGAAGCCTTCTTTCTCAAAGCCCCCAACAAGTTTACGCGCCACCTGCTGTGAAGCTGGTGGGGAATAAGCAGTTGAAAGAGAAGACCAGGTACTTGCTGTTGTGGGGCCAGTTGGGAGGGCTGTGATGCGTCCTGTCTGCTAAGGAGAAGTGCCTCCTTCCTTTCTTCATGTGGTTTCTGTTGGGGGCACTCAAGTGTACCAGGAGATGGGGGGAGGTTTGGAGAGGGGACAGGGGTGTTAACCAGCTGAGGCTAGACACATCCTGTCTCCCTGTTTTCCCATCAATGACAGGACAATCCCCTATTCCATTCTTTTGCCAGGTAGCCAGTACTTTCTGACAGTACAGGATAAAGTTGTTTTTTTTTTTAAAGATTTATTTATTTATGCATACAGAAGTGGGGTACAGGCCAGAGGTGCAGGGGCGGTGAGAGGCTTCACCAGAGACAGAGTGGGAGCAGAGCAGGCCGATTGAGGAAGTCTGCTGCTGAGGGGAGCAGCGGGCGGGCGGGTCAGGAGAGGTCTGCCACGCCATGTGGTCACCTCCTGGGGTGGGGATTGAACTCATGCTTAAGTGGCTTTGGCTTCATAGTGCTGTGCTTTAACCCGCTGTGCCACCAGGGAGGGCCTAAAGATTTTTTTTTAAAGATTGATTTATATATGCATATAACACCAAGAGGTGTGGAGGGGTCAGAGGATTCACCAGAGACAGAGCAGGGGGCAGGCCAGGTGGATCTGCTGAAATACACTGCTGAGGGGAGCAGCGGGTAAGACAGGAAAGGTCTGCTGGGCCATGTGGGTCAGCTCCCTGGCTGGGGATTTAACTCAGGCTTCGTAGTGGTAGTGCTAAGACTTAACCCCTAGGCCACCAGGAATGCCTGGAAGATTAAAATTTAAAGATTGCCAGCACATAGCCTCCTGCCCCAGAGTGTAGGGGTGGGGGGCTAAGAGTAGGTACATTGGAAGGGAGGGTGCCTCACTTCTCCTGCCCCGGGAGTGAAAAGGGACTTAATGGCCATGGCAGGTGACTGGCCAGGTACTGGGGTGGCACTGATGTAAGCAACATAGCAATCAGCTGGCACTGGAGTGGATGTCGTGGGGTCAGGGAAGAGGGGAGCTCAGGATTGTCAGTCCCTGTCCTGTTTTCACCCAGCTTCCTATCAACCAGCCCCTCACCCCTTTACCCCCATCCTAGATTATCAATCACTTTGGAAAGAGCAGCACTTTGCTGCTCTGATGCTGAGAACATTTCTGTGGCTCAAACTCGTTGCTGGGCCCTCTACTTCCCACCCCACCCCCTTCCCAGCATCTCCTGCATAAGGCTGGCTAAGAGACATTGCTGTGAAAATACTTATTTTACTCAGATTATTAAAAAGTAATGCAAAAAGATAAGTATTCTACATTTGTGTATCTGTAACGGTACAAAATAGAGCGTGCAGGTATTTTACCAGTCTGCAGTATAGTTGTGGGTGTGAAAGCTGTGGGTGAGAAGCACAGTCGAAGGTGTAAAGTGACAGTGTTTTCAGGTCAGAAATGACCGTTGACAGGAGGCAGACCAGAATCTGCCTTTTGATGTCGGAGGACTCCCAGGACACTAAATGAGCCTGTCCGGTACAGGTCAGAATACTGGCAGCCGCTGTGCTCACGCACGCGGCAAACTGTCCTTTGAGTCCTGCCAGTGACAGTGGCTTCCTGATACCCAGGAGGCAGTGCTTTCATTGCTCCCAGACCAGGGAGTGAGGGAGCGCGGGCTTCCAGAGGGCAGCTCTGCCAAGACTCGGGCATCCCAACCGATGACTGCTCTGTGTCCTCCCTCCAACAGCTTACACAGATTTCTTCCTGCCACTGCTGAGTCGCTGTCCCTCCGCCATGGGAATAAAGAATAAGGATGGGGAGACCCCTGGGCAGATTCTGGGCTGGGGGCCCCCCTGGGATTCTGCTGAAGAGGAGGACGAAGATGAGAGCTCCAAAGAACAGAAATGGAGGCAGAAGCTACAGGGAGAGCTGGAAGATGAGTGGCAGGAAGTCCTTGGGAGGTTCGAAGGTGAGGGGCCCATTTCCGTCCACTGTCTTTTTTCCTAAACCCACCACTTGAGTGCTCCTTCTGTGCTCCCTTGCTCTGTTCTGGCCTGTCGCCTTCTCATAGACTCTCCCATCCCTCTTCCACCCTCCCAAACAGATGATACTTCCCGTGAGACCCAGGAACCCGAGTCCTTCTCAGCATGGTCAGATCGCATGGCCCGGGAGCATGCTCAGAAGCGCCAGCAGCAGCAGCGAGAGGCAGAGGAAGCCTGCCGCCCACCTCGGGCAGAGGGGTCTGGCCACAGCTGGCGGCAGCAGGAGGAGGAGCAGCGACTCTTCCGAGAAAGAGCCCGAGCCAAGGAAGAAGAACTGCGTGAGAGCCGAGCCAGAAGAGCACAGGAGGCTCGTGGGGACCGAGGGCCAGAGCCAACCAGGGCTGGGCCCAGGGCAGAGCAACCCAGAGTTGCAGGGAGGGGCAGCCTCTGGCGCTTTGGCGATGTACCCTGGCCCTGCCCGGGGGGAGGGGACCCAGAGGCTATGGCTGCAGCCCTGGTGGCCAGGGGGCCCCCCTTGGAGGAGCAGGGGGCTCTGAGGAGGTACTTGAGGGTCCAGCAGGTCCGCTGGCATCCTGACCGCTTCCTGCAGCGATTCCGAAGCCAGATTGAGACGTGGGAGCTGGGCCGCGTGATGGGAGCTGTGACAGCTCTTTCTCAGGCCCTGAATCGCCATGCAGAGGCCCTCAAGTGATCCCCAAGAAAGAGCAAGAAACTGCAGGGGACACAGCCGTAGGGGCAGGGCCATAGGTGGATGAAGTCAGGGAAGGAGATGGCGAGATAGAGGCTGATGCTGAGGGACAGGGTAGGGGTGGGGAAAGAACTTGTAAGAGCAGGGAGGGGATAGGAGCACTCCCCTGCTCCTCAGCGCTGCCACTTCCTAATAAGACCTGGTTCCACATCTCACTCCCGGTGTCTCCTCTGCCTTTTTCCATTGCTGTGGTTTTCATCACCCATGACACCTCCTTTCCCGCTCCGCCTGCCGAATGCCACAGCTCCTGTACACCTGTGACACGCACGCACGCACACACACAGTAGTGCGTGCCCTCAGCTGGAAACAAGAAGCCTCTGCTTGCCCACCCATAAGGTTGGCCCTCAAACTGCTGCGCCCTCCAGTCCCACCCCATTCTATGCTGGGCCCCTGTCCACTCTGCCATCATCAGCTGGAGAAAGAGATGTGAACAGGGGCAAAAAGGGAACAAGCCAGTTTCCCTCCCCATGTCAGCCAGAACCACATCCTCCTCCCTACTTAGCACTCCCTTTCCCCCCACACAGGGCTTTCCCTTTGCTGAGTCATTGAAAGCTGAGTGGGGGGCACCTGGAACTGGGGGACCGAGAGGAGGTTGTGGAAGAGCAAGAGATAGAAAGAATGGACGGAGGAAGAGCCCTGTGGGGGAGTGGAATTTCAGTTGCTAAAATTAGGAGCAGAGGAGGGAGGTGGAAAGAGCAAAATTATGTAACCTGGGTTGTCTGTTCTTGGGCAACCAAGGATCCACACCCGAAGAGTCTCAGTGTCTCCCTCTCTCTCTCTCCCTCCCTCCCTTGTCTCATTACACACACACACACACACACACATCAGTCCTATGGAGGTCCCAGTCTCCCTTTCCCCTTATCCAGTGTCTACCCCCATCCCACACCTGGCCTTTATCTCTGGATACCCTAGGGCTAACTTTCCAGGTAAACATCTTTATTTTCTGAGGTTGACAAAAAATGTCTTAGGGGGTAGCAGGAGAGGGTCCCACAAAGGAGGAAGAGCGACCTCCCACTGTTCATACTCAGCTCCCCCTTCAGTTCCCTGGAATTGCATGGAAAGCTGTAACTGTTGCCAAGCCTCACCCTCATGCCTAGTGCATAGCAGGGCCCTTGGTGACAAGAAAAGGCGGGACTGATAGAACTCAGGCCTGTCCTGGTGTGTGCCCACCTGGCACATGTCTACACCAGAGAATCTCATGAACCAGGAACTTACTTCTCAGGTTTAGAGCCCTGGTTTACCTAGGAGATTCCCATGGCAGAGTGGAAGGTTACAGATAGGATAGTAAGCTTCTGAAAGCATGGGGGCAATGACACCCTCAGAGGAGCTTGAGACCTAAGAGGCCCAAGGCCTCTGAGGGCCCTGCAGATGTTGAGGGCAGGAGCAGAAGAGCTGGTGAGAAAGATCCTGTGAGAGGAAGCTGCTGTGATTCAGAAAAGCGCTATGAGCAACCCAGGCGTCCGGTTCCTCTCTCAGGCTAGAGGTTTCGGAAGTGGCATGCAAAAAGCCCTGGTTAGGTGTTGGGGGGAATTGGGGGTCTCTAAATTGGGGTTGAGTTAAGCAGCAGAAAATGTGTTCATTTGCTTTTTCACCCAAGAGATTTTCTCTGGTTTCAGAGCACATGATTTCCCCACTGCAAGGGTTACATAAAACCAAAGCAGAATAAGTCCTGATACCTGGCCCCCAGACCTCCCCCTCTTCAACACCTTTCCCTGCTCTCTGGCCCCCATCCCTGTTGGGGGGTTCCCCTGAGATGAAGGATGTTCACTTTCTCTGACCACACAGTTTCCGCTCTGTGTCTCTTATTTCCTAGGCTGATAAAAATAATGAGCCCTAGAGGCCCTGGCTTCCTCTGACCCCTTGATGCCAGGCAACAGGCATCCTGTCCACCAAGGTAGGGGCAGGGAAAGGGGCCAGGGATCCCCAAGGGGTGACTCAGTGCCTACTGTGGAACACCAGGGAGGTGCAAGTGAGCACGTGTGTGCTGTCAAGCTAGAGGAAGGCATCGGTTCTCAGTTGGGGATCTGCTGGGGTCCACTAGAGATACAAGACTGGGAAAGAAATGAGTGAGATGGGAGAGTCACTTGGGGGACTAGGGCTGGGAGTGTTTAAGTCAGGAAAGGCCTGGGAGAGACTCCAGTGCCGGTCAGCTGAGCCCAAGGATAAGCTCAAACTCTGCTTTGAGTTTATGGTCTGATGGGAGGGAGGCAGGCTCCTATCGAATTGTGATTCAGGACCTGCGGAGTAAATGTTGGAGTGAGGCACAGTAGATACAGATACGGGCAAGTGAAATCCAGTGGACACTTGAGCTGACACTGATGAATGGGAGGACAGATAAATGAACTGTCAGGAGCAGAGGGCAGTTGAAAAATATGAGTATTGAGTGATTCATGGACCACGAAGCACAGGTAGGAATGAGTGTGTGTTTGAAGAAAATACCGTGTTCAAGAATGCCACGGTAAGGGATCCAGACTTTATCCTGTGGCCAGTGGCACCAGTGACAGTTGTGGAGGAGACGTTGATCAGGAGAATTCTGTAGGGGTGTACAAAAGGAGTAAAGAAAGCGTTCCATGTTTTCTGAACACCTACAATGTGTTAATGGTATCAAGCCCTTTTCCTAACATCTGCCAACAGCTTTCCATTGGGGGGGGGGGTGTTCATGTCCATCATCAGATGAAGTAACGGAGGCTCATGAACATATTGTAACTTGCCAAAGGCCCAACGCTAAAAAGCAGTGGAATTAGCATTAAACTCATCTTGCTTCAAAACTCGTGTACTTTCTACTCAGGTCCCAATAACTCCAAATGGCATTGCAGAGAGGAACAAGATATTTTTTGAAGATTTTATTTGTGTATACAGAACTGGGGCATGGGCCAGAGGTGCAGGGGCGGTGAGAGGATTCACCAGAGACAGAGTGGGGAGTAGAACAGGCAGATCGACGAAGTACACTGCTGAGGGGAGCAGCTGGAGGGTCAGGAGAGGTCTGCCACGCCATGTGGGTCCAGGATGGGGGATCAAGCTTGCACTTTTGAAGCAACTGTGGCTGGCTAGCTTTCAGTGCTGCACTTTAACCTGCTGTGCCACCAGGGAGGGTCAGGAACAAGATTTTATAAATCATTAGTAGAGGATAAATCATTAGGATAACCCAACTACTGGGATAGTGGGAGTGGGAGAAGAGAAGACTTAGATGACTCCAAGTTTTGAGCCTAAGGGATTGGAAAGATGATGTCCCCAAGTCAAGGAGGTGCATGGCTGAAGGGGGAAAAAAGGGTACAATTTCAGGCCTCCAGTCATTTTTTCAGCATCCAGCAGACACGCTGCTAGACAGTGGGTATAAATGAAATAAAGTAACTTCCCTAATCATGCAGTCTAGTGAAACCAACTGTGTCAGTGAAACCCACGACATAGTAGTGGGGGTGCGCTGGCACAGAGTTATAAGGTGCCCCCAGAGGCTGGCTCCATACTCAGGTGGAGGTTTCCAGCAATCATGTCAAGCTCCACAGAGAAGTTTGGACTGGAGAGATGGCTTTGGATATCATTCCCTCCCGGTGGCAGCTGAGCCTTTCAGTGAACATGAAACCCAAGCGAGAGTGACCAGAAGAATCCTGAGGTTAACCAAAGACAGGAGTGATGGACAGGCATTTAATATTTATTAAATATGGGAAAGGCTGAATCGGGTGACACAAGATAACTCTCAACTTTAGGTTTATGGCTCAAATTGGACTTACATTGACATTAGGTTCAATTGTCGTGAATATAAGAGAGACGGGGGCAGCAATCAGAAGCAGGGCAAAGGAGAGGTGTGCCACGTGGAGGCTGGGCAGCCATGTCTGATACTTCAAAGAGATCTAGTAGGTGAGAGTTGAAAGGATCCTATGGGTTCTGGAACGAGACGATTACAGATTTTGAGAAATCAGTTTCCACTTACGGGAAGGCAGAAAGTACATAAGTTGAGGAATGAGTAGGAGGTGAGGAGAGGGAGGAGGTGGGTACAAGCCCATAGAATGGAGAATATGGAAGATAACTAAGAATCATCTCTATCTAGTTCTACCCACTAATCTTATAGATGAGGAAAATGTTACCAGTTCACAAAAAGGTAGTTAGTCTCAAGAGATTACACATAAAGAGAAGGTAAGTGATAAATCGGACACATTTGAGGGAGAAAGTGCCCAGGGAAGAATTTTTTTTTTTAATTAATGTAATAGTTTGTTTTTACATCATTTTGTGCCTTTTTCCATCTCAGTTTTAATCCCTGTGGGCTTCCCATCACCAAATCACTCATGTGCCATCACAGGGAAGAATTTTTAACATATTCAAAAAAATAGAACTGAATATGTGTGTAAAGTGAGGGGAAGGCACATGATGAAACTACTAAAAGCATAAGAGGAATCGGGTCCTCCCTGGTGGCATATGAGTTAAGTCTCAGTGCTATCACTGCTATCACCTCTGTGGCCAGAGTTCGATCCCCGGCCAGGGAGCTGACCCACATGGCCAACAGACCTCTCCTGACCCGCCTCCCCTCAGCATTGTGTTTCAGTTGATCTGCCTGTTCTGCTCCCCACTCTGCCTCTGGTGAAGCCTCTGCACTTGTGGCCTGTACCCCAGTGCTAAAAAGCGAGCTCCACAACGATGGGTTGAGGAACACCAAAGGCTCTCTGAGGCTAGACGGCCAGGGTTGGTAGCAGGCCTCTTCCATGCATGGCTCTCCTGCAGTGCTGGCCGCTACAAGCCCGGGAAATGAGGCCTTTGCACTTCCCCAAATCAAGCTTTTCCAGGTCTTCTATCACATAGGTGAGTGATTCTCAAGTGCTAATGAAAATAGTTGGCGTGTTTTACCACATAACCCACGTTAAATCAAAGAGACATTGAAAGACATGGTGAGGATAAAGAACGGATGAGATGGGAAGCCGAGAGTGAGACAAGTGAAAACAGGAGGCTGCGATGAGAGAAAATTCCAAGTTCAAGAATGCAAGATGTAGCTCTTCCAAGTGATGCCAAGGCAGGAGCCACACCTTGCTCCTGGCAGTTAATGTGGCAGGGAGCGAGGCCGTAATGCTACTGACCTTGAGAAAGTGAGGCCATAGTATAAGATCTATGTGGTTTGGAAATCACCAAAGATCACATCTGGAATGAGATTCAGAAAAAAACTGAGCTC